ATATAGTGGGTCACATAAAAATCACACTCTGTCTGTCCATATTACTTGGTCTTCATGTATTATCAGAACTTCTTACCTGTTTTTTCATCATTCTTCCAGAATTGGTGCAAGCCTTAATTACTAATGTGAGGAACAGCGACTAAATAAATAAATAAATCTCTCTTTTGTCACACAAGGAGGGTGGCAAGTGGTACAAGCCCAACACCCCATCTTTCTCTGCAGGGTCACCTTGGCACTTCTGTCAGAGAGAGAGGAATCTTGCCAATGGCAAGAGCTTCAATGGGTCAAAACTTCCTATTGAGGGACTGGCACCAAAATGACAAATCGATTTGTCCATTTGTTGACTATATGGATTTGAAGCATCACTATTGGACAGGCTTACAAGGTGAACAGTGTTTGTTCCTATATCCAAGCTCATTCTCATCCAGGTATACAGGCAGAAAACATGGGGTAAACATTAGAGCAATCAGAGAGACTGGAGCCTACACATCATCATCAACATGCTTCTCAGTTTATTACTGTATGTGCTCAAATGGATATGGGCTCTGTGTATTTATGATTCAACAGCACATGCAATTCATGAGCAATGTTGGGCCCACCCTCACCCATGGTTGAGAGCTGCCACTGTTCAACAGATAAGGCAATGTCAGAGTGCCTGGAGATGTGCATGCAACACTGTTCTCTGGCACTGAGGCAACGAAGCCTATGCTTGGCTTACAAATGCTGACAGTGCCTCAGAGTGGTGCAAATTGCTAGACAGTGGTGACTGAGGGGGTGGAGCTTCTTCCTAAAGCATCATTATCATGAGCTGCTGGATAGCTCAGTGGCTTAAGTCTCTGGCTGCAGAGCCAGAGTTGGGGGTTCAATTCCCCTTGAACTGAAAGGGCCTGATGATTCATAGAGTCCCTTCCAGTTCTGCAGTTCAAAGGTTATTATTATTATCATGTAACCACAGTTTAGTTTATACTTGACATGTTGCGACCTACTTGTCATTTTTGGTGAAGGTGTTGCGTAGGATATATCTACTGGGGGGTGGGTTGAAATATGGAAAGTGAAATATCAAAGGATTGCAAAGGAAAAAAGAGGAAAGGTGACCATGGTCACAGGAGAAGGGTATGTAAAAAGTAGAGGGGACAGGGTGCATATTCTTACACTCCCCTAGTCCTCCAGGTATTCCAGACAATAAGCCTGTGGAGCATCACTCCTCCTAATGGCGTAGGACCACCACTCCAATGGGCTGTGGGTTCTCCACTACCAAGGCAGCGCAGCAAGAGGCACAAACACCTCAGATAAGTTTGTACACAGCAAGGTTGTATTGTTGACATATCGATGTAAGAGTCAATTTTGTTATTCTTAAAAAGGGGGGAACAGAGAGTAACACATAAAGTGAAAGATGTATGTCCAACTACAGAGGGGTAGCCACACATACTGCATCCAATTATGTTAAATGTTATGGCACTTTCAAAGCACATCAGAACACACACTGTGGGATATATGTCACATCACCGCAACACATGACTTATCTGGGACTGAAAGACGTGAGAAAAGACATTTCGCTGGTGTGACTTGGACACATTAATAGGGAAGAATGTTCCTGGATTTCAATTTATTTGCTGCCAGTGCTTGCTGTGTAGAAGCCACAAATATCACAAAGAGACAGCTGAACTAGAGAACAGGAGGAACACCAACACCAGGGCCTGGCAAGCTAGTCCGCAGGTTAAGTGGAAAAGGTCGAACTAAGGGTCAAATCAGACAAGATACTTAGCAATCACTGAAACATGAAAGCATTGTAAGTCTTACAGGTGTAAAATATTCATTGGATGCCAAGAAATACTATGTTTACCTCCTGATGACAAATCATACAGGAAAGCTTACTATTTGCAAGCTACGTGAAATCAGAAAAAGTTGTGCAATGACAATCAGATGTCTTTTTACACTTAAGCAACTTGTGCTTCTAACAACTCTCTATGATTTCTACTTGGGCATGAAGTGTTGATATCTGTACTTGAGCAACAGTTTTATCAAACTGAGATACCAGAGCAAGCCAAAAGGAAGCCTTCTGGCCTCTGCTGTTATGTGACACTTGCTGGGCTGGCCACCTACAATGATGACTCTTACATTTGTGTTTTCTTTTTGCATACACTGCCTTACTACAAGATAGTTGTGAGTGGGTTCCTCCTTGACTTTGACAGCACCATCCGCTCCCCAGCCCAGAAGTGACAAGGTGGCTGGGTTAACCTTTATTGTCTAACATGGGCGGTTGGTTCCACCACCACCTCCACAGGAACATCTCCATTCAACAAAGGATGGGGTTCAAATCAACTATTTCTTTGAACTGTTAATGGGGTTTCTAACCCTAACACGGGGTTCCTCCAAATCTCTCCCTTTTTAAAGTATGTGTGACATCTGTTCAACTTTAGTATAAAATGCATACATATTCTATTAAGTGGGAAGGACATTGTCTTTCTATTAAAAAAAACTTGACATTTGGCAGCATAACTGGGAAAGCATATAATACCATATCTTTCTTATTAAACTAAGGGCATGATCACACAACAGAATTGTTCTCTATTTATGCCCAAGTTAGATTGTAGCATAACTTTGCAGTTGCATGACTGTCACGGCCATTAGCGATTCATTTTACTGGCCAGCAGTGTAACTGTAGTTCAGTTCTCCCTCACTGGGAGGCTTCTCATTTTTTGTTCCGGTGGCATTTCAATATATTCCTTAGTGGTATGGCATGTGTGTACAACCCTATCAATATTTTTCCAAAACAAATTCATCAGGGAAGGCAGACACCATTACTGCCATGCAGATGCCCTTCTATAATTTTTAATTTTTTCCCATGACTGGAGTTGAAAAGGTTGGTAAACTTATGCCAACAACTTTAAAAGTGTTGCATCACTCTACCCACTATCTGACAAGTGGAACAGCCCTGGCTGGGGGTGTTGGGTCCATTGCGGGCAATGCATTGCTTCGATAGGTGCCTGGCCAAGAGAGGGAAATCCACCCATCAGGAAACAGTACCCAAAACACTGATGCACTGTTTAATTTTTTTTTATAAAAAAATTAAAGTTAAGGGGCTGCACTGCCCCGTAAAGCAAGAGAGAAAATGAATCGGTACCATAGTGTAGCTGCCCACAACGATTCAAACTGAAGAAAATGAATCAGCAACATTAAAACTCATTGAGACGCTCATCCAGGTATATATACCACGTAACTGTGATGCTTTGCAAAAGAGGTATAGAAAATATAGTTAGAAGTGAGGAGCATTTCCCTGGTATGACTGCAGCCTTAGAAAGATAATTTGTACCAACTGGTAACTCTTTGTTTATGCCACGCTCTCATATTTAACCTCAGAAATATGACACGGTCTCTTCTCAAAGGTGTATCTTTTGTGGCTTCGCGTGCTGGAATTCACTGTAACGTGTCTGTCAGCACAGTCTTTACACTATTCAGTTATACAGTATCTGTTGTAAATCCAGCCATGGAAACAAAAACAGAGAAAATATGTGCGCACTAGGCAAAAGAAGCAAGAAAGCCTGTTTTTGTTTTGGCCTGGTGGAATTTCTGGCCTGTGTTACAAATGGAAAGGGCTTCTGATTTCTACTTCATCTTCTCTTTCAGGTTCTTTTGCTCTCCCAGTGGAGATGGCCCAGTGTGAAGCAGCAGAAGTCCAAGGAGGGTAACAGATATCCCTATCCACCACAACAGGGCACGGGTCTCTCCAAACAGCAATTTTCCAAGAAAAGCCTAAAAGAAAAAGGAGGTCATCATCCCAAGCCAAAAAGCAGATGCCTTAAATGTGGGCTTCCATTCCCAGGTATTATGAACTCATCATACACTGGACCCACCTTAAAACCCACAGAAACCTGGAAGCTATGGTAGGTTAGGATGTGCCCTTTGAAATGCACTTTGCAGAGATATGAAAAAGAATGGAACAAAACCCTGTTGCAAGTTTATGCTGGTGGAAGGACAACGGTGTAATTCACAGCAGCACATACTGCATGCAAGTTGGAGAGCTTGGTGTGTGATCAGGAATCCAAGCAAAGTCTCATTAATTAGTGGCAATTTGTTGCACTGCATTTACACCAATGGCATTTCATCAGCATAAATTAGCAACAGAATTTTGGCCCATGTATGGTTATAAAAAATTTTAAGACTGAAAAGACTATATTGTTTGAGAAATAGTATAAACTACCATGCACCCAGTTGACAGAAGAAGCAACCCTACACCTAGTGAGGGTAACCCCATATTAATAACTTCCCCAAACACATCAATACCTTCTCTCTTGAATATGCATGCTGTTACATGCACACATAATAACCAGTATGTAGAGAACTCAATTTGCTGTTATGTGAATGGGAGGCTATCGACTCATCCACCTCAATGCCTTCTACTACCCCCTTGAGCACCAGCTTAACAGAGGGGGTATGTCTAGCACATTTCACCATGACACTACCTGAGATGGGATGAACCCTCAGTAGAGGATGGTCTGGGTGGCTGGGCAGACGCCAGAAGTCCTTGAAGGGGTAAATACATAGACAAATAGCTAGAAGAAGAAGAAGAAGAAGAAGAAGAAGAAGAAGAAGAAGAAGAAGAAGAAGAAGAAGAAGAAGAAGAAGAAGAAGAAGAAGAAGAAGAAGAAGA